TTGTCTTCATTTTTGAAAGACAGTTTTTGAATATAAGATTCTTGATAATTTTTTCCAATTTTTTGAGGTATAATTGACCAAAGTTGCATACATTTGAGGTGTATATGTGATGTTTTGATATACTTATATGTGAAATGATTACCAAAGTCAAGCTAATTAACATCCATGATCTTAATAGTTAACATTTTTTTGGTGTGTATGGTGAAAACACTTAAAATGTATTGTATTAGCAAATTCAAGTATCAATCAGTATTATTAACTACAGTAACAGTGTTGTGCATTAGATCTCCAGAGCTTATTTCTCCTATATAACTGAAACTTTGTGCACTTTAACCTGTATCTCTCCATTTACCCTATTCTCCAGTCCCTGACAACCACTGTTCTACTCTCTGCTCTTGTGAATTTGACTTTTTTAGATTCCACATGTAAGTGAGATCATACAGTATGTGTCTTTCTGTGTTTGCCTTATTTCATTTAGCATAATGTCTTCCATATTTATTCATGTTGTTGCAAATAGCAGGATTTCCTGCCCTTTTAAGGCTGAGTAAGGTTTTACATATATAAATATAAATATAAATATAAATATAAATATAAATATAAATATAAATATATAATGTAACATTTTTTTAAATCCATAGATGCTTAGGCTGTTTCCATATCTTGGCTATTGTGAATAATGCTTCAGTGAATGTGACAGTGCAGATATGTCTTTGAAAACTGATTTCTTTTCCTTTAGATAAATACCTAGAAGTGGAATTGCTGGATTATTTGGTAGTTCTATTTATAACTTCTTTGAGGAATCTTCATTTTGTTTTCCATAGTGGCTTCACCAATTTATATTCCCCTCAATAGGGCACAGGAGTTCCCCACTTGTTATTTCTTGTCTTTCTGATAATAGCCATTCTAACAGGTGTGAGATAATATCTCATTTTGGTTTGATTTGCATTTCCCTGATGATTATTGATGTTGAGCACTTTTTCATGTACCTGTTGGCCATCTGTGTATCTTCTTTGAAAAATGTCAGTTCAGATTTTCTGCCCATTTTTAAATTGGATTGTTCTTTTTTTCTATTGAATTATAGGAGTTTTTACATATTTTGGGTATTATATTTTCTGCATCCTGCAAAGCCAGGCCCAGTGCTGAGAGCCTCCCTTATTTTCTCTAGGGTATAGAGCCTGAAAGGTTCAAGACTATGCACCTTCTACTAATGCAACAGATGGGTGTGCTTGTGCATGATCTGCAGAAGCTCAAGTGTGCTGTCTGCAGGTGTGTGTGTGTGGTGCCAGCTACACGTGGGAGAGGTTAATGAATTGCTGGGGGCATGTGTGTGCTAGTTGGGGTGAGTCTGCAGGTGGTGCTTCCTATGTATTTGTGCGTGGACCTCTTGGCCTAGTTTGTGAGGTGCTTAGTAGAAACCTTGGCCCTTTGTTGAGTTCCTGCCCTGGTGCTATGAGCCCCTTTCCCATTCTCTGCCAATCCCCTCATTGTTCCCAATGGAGTGAGAAAGAAGGTCATCCTGCTTAGCTGTGGAAAGCAGGCACTCACTGTGAGCTCCCTTTCCCCTGTGGCAAAATTCTATGACAAAGGGGGTTTCTGTTGACAGTGAGCTGTGTCGTCTTGTGGGGGTCATGTGGTAAAGTGAAACTGTTCTTACTCTCTTCAGTCCCTCTACTCTTGGGACTTTTGCTCTGCATGGTACTGGGACTTAGCCTGCTGGACTCCTGGGCTCCCGCAAATGTACTCTTATCTCTGGGTAGTTGAAAAATACATGTTTCTGTGGGAGGATTAGGGCAGAAAACTCTATTCTACCATCTTGATGATGTCATTCCCTGTATTTTGATATATTTTTTTCATTGAGTACTTTGCATATGTCATCCATTGCCTTTTGGCCTTAACTTGTTTCTAAGTGAAGGTAGCTTTTTATCCTGTTGGGAGACTCGTGTGCCGAGAATCATCTTTCTCTTGCCTGCTTTCTAGATTTTCTTTCTCTTCAACCTTCAGCATTTCTATTTATATCTGAGTGTGGACCTTCCTGTGTCTTTTCCTACTTGGAGTTTATTGAGATTCTTAGACATGTATATTAGTGTTTTTCATTAAATTTAGGATGTTGTTTGCCATTACTTCTTGAACATTTTTTTACTCTTTCTCTCCTGTACTAGTATTCCCAGGAAATACGTGTGGTTGCTGTTAATGGTGTTCCACATTTCTCAGTCTCTGTTCATTTCCCTCTCTGTTCTTTGGATTGCAGAATCTCTATTGTGCTATCTTATAGTTCACTGATTTTTTTTCTTGGGCCGTTGAAATTTTATTGTCGAGTTTCTCCAGTACATTTAAAATGCCAATTGTTACATGTTTCAACTCAGGTTTTTTTTTTTTTTTGGTAATTTCTGTCTCTTTGTTGATGCTTTATATTTGATAAGATGTCATATTTCCCTTTGCTNTTTTTTTTTTGGTAATTTCTGTCTCTTTGTTGATGCTTTATATTTGATAAGATGTCATATTTCCCTTTGCTTCTTTAAACCTTGTTTTCTTCAAGTTTTTGAACATATTTATAATGGCTGCTTTGACATCTTTTTGCTTTGTCTAATATCCAGGCCCTCTGGAAGGCAGGTCTGTTGTCTCCTTTTTTTTTCTGTGTATGGGTCACACTTCCATTTCACTGCATGTCATAAATTACTCTGAAAACTGGACATTTTAGATAATGTAGCAACTCTGGATCTTGATTTCTTCCTCTCTCTGTCTGGGGCTGTTGTAATTTTATTTCTTTTGTGACTTGGCTGAACTCTTTTAGTGAAGTCTCTTTCCTCCTCCAAATGCATCCTCTGATGTTTTTCCTCAGTGGGCACAGGCTGGGGGTGCACACAGTCACTCTGGGATGACAGTAGTTTTATCAGGGCCGTCTGACTTTTTCTTCTGACCTTTCTGGTAAGCTGTTTTCCTCTGTATCATACCCACCTCATAGCCTCTGCTAATTGCCCATTGCTCTATTATTTTTATCAATGCTCTGGGACATAGTACTCCACGGTCTTGTTTGAACTTAAAGTCAGCCCTTTTTAAGGAGTGACTTTGAGGCCAGTCTTTGAGCTTCTGACCCCAGTAGGGCTCTTTCTTTTTCTTTGCTTCTCTCTGGTAAACTTAACAGCTGGTCTATTTTAACTTATTCTCTTGGAACTGTCAGCTCTCTCTTAATTGCTTACTACCGAAACCTCCACTGTTTTTGAGAGTGCCCTGAAGGCGTAAAACTTCCCACCCTCTGTTCTTCCTGGAGTCAGTTCCCTTGGAAGAACTTGAGAGCTCTCCTTTTTTTTAGCCTGCCGTCTCCCCTGGGTGGAAAACCTCTGTGCTGCTGCATTGGACTTGTAGGTGGGGTTAGTAGCCTGTTCTTAGGGGGAAACCATTGTGTCACTTCCTGGGCACTGTACAGGGGTGGCAGCCTTTGCGCTTCCCAACTTGCTTCTTTTGGCACAGAACCTGTGCCCTAAGAGTGCGTTGGGGTGAGATGTGTTCTCAGCCTGTTAGGCCTGGTGTACGGCTCCCGCTCTGTCAGTGGGGACTAGGTGGAGGGTGGGCACTCAGACCTCTCAGGCTTTCTGCTTGGCTGGAGCTTCTGCCACCTGGGGTCCGGGAGGGCTGGTGGTGGGAAGTCCCGGCAGCCTGCTGCTCCTGGGTAGGTATCGGTGGTCCGGACTAGGAGCTGAGGGACGGAGGCGCTCTCTGTTCCTCACTTTACCCACCTGGGTCAGGCTTCTGTCTTCCGAAACTGGTTCTGTGTGAGTGAATGTGTGCGGAGGAGGGTGTGGGAAGGGGGGAAGGGGGGAGCAGGTAATGGGTCAAGTATCATGGGCTGTTGCTGTTGCTACTAAATTTTAGTAGGTATTCTTGTATGAATATTTCTTGGTTTGCTGTTGCTCTTAGTAAAGTTTTCTGAGACCATAAATGGTTGTTTTTATAATGTTTTACCAGTTATTGTTCTTTCCCTAGAGGCAGTGTTTGTGGAACTCTTCATGTTGTCATTCTGAAAATCAGTTCCATATTCTTTAAGCATTAATTGCTATTATAATCATCCATGTTTTTTGAGATACTCTGTGTACCTTATTAACTATACTATATAAACTATGTTACATTCTGATGCTTTGTATCAGGGATTTATTTAGTATATTTGTAAAGCATTAATTCATATTCTCATGTACCTTTTTTATATATATCAGTTCATATATATATATATATATATATAATATAATAGTGAGCAAATATTTATACTACTTTCAAAGTTACCCTTTAATTAAAGAAAGGATATTTATTTTAATTTTTATGTTTCTCAAAAATGCATTGTGATTTTCAGTTACAATATGGATATATCACAGAAATAATCTTGAGCAAAAGCATGTGCACAGATATGAGTACAAACTATGTGATTTTATTTTGTGAAGTACAAAGACAACAATGCAAATTTTTGCTAAAAAATTTCTCAGTGTTGTTTACTTAGTTGTGTTTATCTTGTGAAAATTCACTGAGTTTTTGGCTCATGATATGTGCACTTTTATATTCATTATATTTTACTTAATTAAAAACTTAAAAACTTTACTATAGACCCATATGAGTTATGTAGTTTAAACTGAATACAGTTCAGAGTAAGTTTATTGTATTTAATTTTTTATTTGGTATTTAAAACTGATGGTATTTTTGGCCTGTAGCTTTAAGGAGGCTTGTTTCCTGCATTTATAAATGAAATAAAAATTAAAAATATAAATCATTATAAAATCATTAACAATTGTATTTACTATTGTGTTTCTTCAAAGCATTTTAAGATACTGTGAATCTCAAAATATTAAAAAAAAATTGAAGTGTAGAGGCCATTTGTGAATTGTTAAAAAAAAAGCATGTTATTTTCACAGTTTCAAGGAAAATTCTATATGCAAATTAGACCCTCTATATAGTATATATAAAATCAGGGAGATCGTTTTATCCTTTGTAATACATTTTTAAATTTTATCCTGTAGGACTATTTTGAAAGAAAGTGGGTTTGCCAGATACCTTCATTCAGCTGTTCTAATCAATGGAGCTATGCTTATTTTTGGAGGAAATACCCATAATGACACTTCCTTGAGTAACGGTGCAAAATGTTTTTCTGCCGATTTCCTGGCATATGACATAGGTATGTATCTGTTAGGATTGTACAAAGTAGGAAATATCAGAAATTTTTCATGTAGAGATTCTCAAATACATTACTTGACAGCATGTGTATATGTCATTTTAGAGGTAAATTCAGTGACAGATTACTAATGGAATTCTTTCTCATTTTAGCATATAGGCTTAGAGAACAGACATACTGGGGTGTTGTGGTGGAGACAGGGAACTTAGAAATCTAGGTTTGAATTTTTTGAAGGGTTTTGTATTTTGTATATTGTATCTCTATGTGAGTCATCTTATCAGTCAACTGTGTTTGCCTATTACCATATTAGTTTTGATAATGGAAAGATATGCAGCACTACCAAATTATATAAATTATAAAAGGTAGGAATACAGTATTTTAGAGTTAGTGGTATGAATAAAGACGCATTTAAATTAAACACACTTGGAAAGGAAGCTGATAGAATTAGAGAAAGGAAGATAGAGACAGTAGAGCTAAAGAAATAAGATTTTTGGAACAAAACAGGAATTCAAAACATACCTAGGAATGGAAATAATTAAAAAAGGATCTTTTCCAGAGAGCCAGAAAGACAGTGCATTTATACAGTTCTCTTAATTTTAATTACTCTATCTATAGTCCTGTCAGTTTTTGGATATTAGATGAATATTTATTGAGATTAAATTTAGCTACTCAGAATATTATTGTAGTAAAAACACTTCTTTATGTATCATATTGTAGATAAAACCTAGCTGATACTTGAAATATATATTTAGCAGTACTTAAAGAGTAGCTTTTATTGATGGTATAAAGTAATATGCCAATTTTAAGCTATTAAGAAACATTTTGATAAGAAAAAATCAAAGAGCAAAGAATGACATATTTAATAGATGTAAGAAGTGTCCTTTTGCTCTTTAATATAAAAGTGTAACTACTTTGGAAAATTATTTCAAGTGGTGACATGCAAACCTAATTATGCCTATTAATAAGCACTTTGATCTTTGTTATTAGAAGTTCTTTTTTAGAAGGAAATTCCTAGTAAAGTTAAGCATGTATTTTAACTCTTAACTGTATCTGTCTGTGATTTATCATTGAAAACTACTGCATTTAGGATTTTTATGTTCTAAATAATTAAATCTTTACCATTTTGAAATAACAATTTGAGATGATGATTCATGATGAAAATTGCAATGTCTCTGCTTTTGGAGAGCTTATAAATCAGGGCTTGAGATCCCCCAAAATGGATTAAACGAAGTACTGAGTCTAGGGTGGTTTTTTGTGATCTGTCATTGCCACGCTGGGGCTATCAACATACTGTTTTGGCTATGGTGATGAGATAATAAGCATGTTTCTCTGGAGGTAGGTGAAAGTTTTGCTTGTCTTCTAGGAATAAAACTCCTAGGAAAAGTGTGGAATTTTGATGGTTTTCAAAAGATTCTTCAAGGAGTTCCTATCCAATGTCTACTTTAATGAAGGAATTAATGTTGAGCTATTTTGTAGCTGACATATTGGGATTTTGTTTCTATTTCTTCCATAGTGTCCAAGATTATCATATTTTAGTTTTTGTGCATCAGAAAAGGTTACAGAGGTGAAAAACATTAGAGATATTAGTTTCACAGAGAGAGTTCAGATTATCATTCCTCTAATTACTGCTATTTGTTAAGTGTCTCCTGAGAGAGAGTTATTATGCTACGGATTTTATACACAATATCTTCATCTCTCTAATAACTTTGCAACAACGTGTTAATAAACTCATTTCCAGAATATCATACAGATCAGAGTAAAAGGAACTTGCCCACAGCCAGGAAGATGGTGTGTGGTAGATCTTGCTCTTATGATAGTCTTTTCACTTGACTAACGTCATGCTGCTTGGTTGTGTCCATTGTGTGTTCTTAATTTTGGCAACAAATTATCAGACACCTTATGTTTAGTAATGTTACTTAATGCTGTGGAAAGAGAAGCAAATATCAGTTTCATTTTTCAAATGAACAACAAAAAAAGCAATTTCCAAATTGTTCAGATTGGAGGAAGAACATATTTTAAACAGTTTTATATTTTAACATTGTATTTTTCCCCCCTGTGCTAACATTAACAACAAACGTCCAGCAACCATACAATTCAATGTAGGATAACAGTGTTTTGTTCTCTCTCATTTGAATATGTCTATGCAGTTCTCAATAAAGATAGCCCCCCAATTTTTATTTATTCTCCTGAGTTTGTAGCATTAAATGTTAGAATATCTTTTTTCCTGGGAAAAATGTTTTTCATATTTGAGAATGTCTTGCAAAATAATTGTTTTCCTTATGGACTGTAATTTTGGAGAATGAAAACAAAACCACTGCATAATAAACCAACTAGAAAATAGATCTCTTTGGAAAAAAAGGTCATGTTACTTTTTCTGTTTAGTAAAGTACATTAGGACTTCTACAGCATATTAACTGAAGTGCACCTGAAGATGTAGCTTATTCCTTTTGTTATATGATGTTTAAACAAATAAATTCTGATTTGTGCCAATACTAATTTTTCATTGCTTTAAAGTATACTATTTCAACCTTACTGCCAAAGTAAATTTTATATAGCAAATAGCATTAATCTTTGAGGATATAACTTTTCTTCACTGTTCTCGCTGTTATACATGATAGATGTAGAATGCATATGATGGTGATTTTCAAATATGGCTGTGCCTTGGTGTGCCCTTTGAATGTTACAGAAAAAAACCCAGACCTGTATAATCTGATTTGCTTGCATCAGGCACTAGGCATCTATATTTTTTAAAAGTGACTCAAGTGCAACTGATAATAGACCCAGGGCTGATGAATGAGAGTAGATGAACTGTCACATATAGGATGATATATTACTTAATGTTCTCATTTGTAAATCTAGCTTGAAGTCAAATTTGAAATTTGAAAACTCTATTAATTTTTTGTTATTGTTAGTGGTATTATTGTTGCTTTCAGAAAGCCACCATGACACAGTATTCAAGATTAAAATGATCTTTATGTAAAGACAGCCTTCTAGTACACAACAAAGCTAAAGCTACAATGGAAAAATATCTCACTGAGTTGATCTCATATTATTAGATGTATTTATACTTTGAAATTATTAAGACTGTGGAAAGTAAATATTGTAACAAAAGTTTTCAAGGGTAAGTGGGTAGAAAATAATCAGTTTATCTTTCACATTTCTTAAGTGTCATTTGAGGATTGTAACATTTACAAATAGGAGATTCCTATGAATTGAAACACACCTTGAAATTAAAGTGATTTTTGAGACAGTATTTCAGAATCATCAAATGAATAACTATTGCACTATCTCCTGTAGGCCTAATATATAATCATGATACTTTTATTTACAAATGGTAGTCATTGTTCAATAAGAAAATTTACTGAAGGGTTAAGAGAATGTATAGAGTACTTGTACAATTCAAAGATATTTGATATATTTTTTTCTTCAGAAAAATAGTAGAAACATGAAAATGTAATTTCCTGGGTTAGATTATTAGAGTATGGAATAGGATTTATATCAGAAATGTATCTTGCAGAAAGCAGAACAGCTGAAACTTCAATCAGATCAAAATAATAAATAGAATCTTAAAAATAAATTTCTTGAACAGGATAGTTTTACTTATGACATTAATGACCTGGTAGGCTATTATTTAAAAACAAACTCAGTAAACAAACTGAAAAGTAATTCTGTATTTGAAGAGGAGCATAATAAAATGATATTACTTTAATTACTAATATATAATAAGGCATATAGTTAACCATTTAAAAATAGAGTGGAGTTGTAGTTAAGTATACCCTTAAAGTCACTTAACTACATTATGAAGCATAGCATACCTGTCTTTGTACAACCCTGCAGACTGATACGCAGACTGATATATATGTGTACATGTTTTATAGATATAATTTATTAAGGAATATAATTTTATTAAAATATATTCAAATTAGAACATCTAATCATTTAATTTTTTGGAGTGTTTCAGCAAAATTATGAAAATTCCAACTTGCTTGCTCTTCTCGTTTATGATTATTTTCATTTTCTGGAGGTATTTTATTAGTTCCTCTGTTAATATTTCTCTGTGCGCTTTGTTAAATTCTTGCGGCTCTTCCTTGACAAAAGCAGCACCCCTTGCCTAGCCACCTGAAAGAACCAGTTTCTTTGTCAGAAAAACTCCTAAAATCATTCACACATTTTTTTTTCAATAAATTTAGCCAACCTTTGAATATTTTAAGCTTTACTGTATTTTTTGCTCAAGGTGTTCTTTTTCTTTCTCTAACATACTTTCATGTTGAGAAATGAGAGAACTAACATTTGTTAAATGCTTCCCATAGTGCTTGGCATTTAAGCTTTATAATCTAATTCTCATAACATATTATAACATCTGTGTAGTATGTACTATTTTATTTGGTTGTAGAGGAAGAAACTGATTTAGTGTGGTTAAACCCAAAGTCATATAGGTTATAAGACAGTGTATGCAGAATTTTGAACTCAAGCCTAAGTTCTTTTGATTCTATCACTATACTAAGATACTGATTTTTTCTGACATAATAGGGGAAAAAAATAAATGCTATTTAATTGGGGAAAAGGCATATAATGTTTGTTAATGTAGCAAGATACCCAAGAAATTTAGTTTTATTTGTAGATTTAATAATATTTTAAAGGTATGTTTGAATTTTATTTTTATCAACCCCCTCTCACAAATTAATAAAAAAATAAGGACCTCACAATAGAAAAATCAAGGAGAAAGAAAAGAGTAATGAACAATGAATCTCTCTCTTTCTTAACAGTTCTACAAGCATTTTGAATAATTGTTTTGAAATAAAGATTCTTGAAATAAAATATACACTGAAAGAAAAGTTTTTATAAACCTCTGGGGAAGAAGGCAGGAGAGTGCTGTCATGAAGATAGAATAAAAAATTTAAAATAAAATATTAGCAAATAGAATTCAACAGTGTTTCAGAAGTATAATAAACTATGACTAAGTAGGATTTATTATAGGAATTCAGGTATGATTCAGTATCAGA